GTAGGTTGTTGCAGGCAGATGCCATAAACCATGTCAGTTATAAGGTGAGAAAAAGAGTTCTTTGATGACCGGGAAGAATGTACAGAGGCATTGTAGTATGACAACCATCATCATTCAGTGTTTTAGATGTAGGCCTACCTATGAGTTATTGCTAGGCTTATTGACTTAACCTTTGGTTTTTGTTTGTGTTGGTGCTTCATGAGTTTGCTATCTTTTTAAGAAGGCCATGGAAAATGCACCTTGCATATTTGTTGATGAAATTGTTGTTGCACAACAAAGAGGACCTGGAATTTTTTTGTTTTGCCATCTCTTTTACAAGGTTCTTTTTTTTTTTTCCATGACGATTGGACCTAGATATTTTGCTTCTGAAAAAATACTTTTACTTATATAATACATTGAAGAGAGAACATTATATACATTGTGTTTTGCCCAACATTTCCCACATAAGATGGACTATTACAGTTTTTGTATTGCTACTATATAGCATCATATTGCCTTAGTATTGCTACTATTCAGCCTCCTATTGCGTTCTTATTGCCACTGTATTAATTGGTTTTTGCTATTTTTTGCATTAATTGGTTTGAGAGTCCTCCTATTTGCACAATACATAGGCAATACAAGCCATATATGGGGGCAATACCTATGCAATATAAGCCATATACAGGTGCAATACAAAGGCAATACAAGCCACAATAGTTTACATCAATTTTTCCTCAAAAAATGACACATAAATTGGCAATAAACATACAATACAACGACAATAAAAGGCAATAAATGGTTATACACAAACAATAAACAAGAAATATACACACAATATACACACAATAAACACTGAATGTATATCATTGTTTTCTCAAAAAAGGATGTGACGTCTTGATGACATCACATTCTTACACCCATAATTTCCCAATTTCCTTACTATGGAAGCAATACAGTAGCAATACACAAGCAATAATACAATAGCAGTACACAAACTTCATACTTCACCTATAAATTTATTCCAACAGACATGAAAAAAAAAGGATATACGAGGGCAATACACAAGCAATAAAGGGTTATACATGTGCAATACATATCTGTCATGTCATTTGCCAATTAAATCACTGATTCGGTTGAATTTGTATTTTTTTCTTCTTTGCGAGGGGAAATGATAAAACCATGGAAATTAGAGATTGACAAATTTCCTTCTAACTTGACTTTCATAAATTGATGAACTAACAATGTTATCTCATTACATCTTAAGATATACATAAGAAAGTAGCAAAAAAAAAAAAAAATTACATCTCCTCTTGGTCGGGAAATTTAACACAATTTATATCTATCTGCAAAATTCTAGGACATGTCCTCTTAGACCCGAATTTAAGCTGAAAGTTAGCAATTTCCTCCCCAAAAGAACGCCGCCACTTGAAACAAGACAATCTTCCATCCGTATAAAACGGATAAAAAATGCATATTAGAAGTAAATCATTCAATCACAATGGAAACAAAAACATAACATTCAATCACAATTGAAACCAATTTCAAAATAGAAACCAATACCAAAATTCATATAGATTGTTGGCTTTTCTGAATGACCCAATTCTTCATATGGCAAGCTTTCACAAGATAGTATCATTACAAAATTAAAGTTAACATTCATGCACACAATTTCATACTACTCAGTTGCAATATAAAAGTAATTATAAACATGGGTGAAGTGAATGTGTGTCCTTGCAAACGAATAAAAATACAAATCAGGAAATCATCAATAGTGCATTTGGCATTGGTCAAACAGTTAAAGAAGCACAGTCTCAGAGAAGAAGAAGAGCAAGACAATGGAACTAGATAAATGCAAGAGCTGTCAACAAACCTTCAAGTTTTCCAAGAACCCTTTTCATGGCACCAACACAACATTGACATGATACCAACCTTGAGAATTGTAGACTGCACCAAAAACAGATCCAAGATTGAATTACGAAAAAATAGAGAAAACAAAGATCCAACATATGCCAACTTTACACTATCAAAAGTATGTTAAAATATTGACATTCTCATAAAACAAACAAACTCTCCAATCACTTTCAAAAGAAGTAAAGGATGAGAATCTTGCATCTGTTGGTGGTGCTATTGGTTTCAAATGGTGATGTTGGTTTCTTATGGTTAAAACCCACATTACTGTTATTTCAGAGAGCATCTATGAGTTTTATATGTATTCTTACAAGTTGCTTAGAAAAGCCAGAAGTCCTAATTTGATACATCACCTAAGTGATTTCACAAACAAATCACAATCACAAAAGAGTGAATACACCATTTTCAAGGAGGTTTGCAAATCCAAGTCTTAATCACAAAACATTGTATGCATGATTTCAAAGACAAATCATAAGTACAAAACAATGTATCCAAGTCCAAGAGCTTGACAACCACAGAAAATATAGTTGGTAAATTTCATTCAATCACAGAAACAGCAAACAAACCACAACAGAAACCCATTAATGTCTTGTTGATCCTATTCCTAACAACTAAAATGAGTTATTAAAAATAGCAACTTCAATTCTCGCAAGTGCACGAACCATTTATAGTATAGCTTATGTAAATACGAGGTCGATCCCACGGAGAATGGTAACTTGGTTGCAAGTTAAATTACTTAGAATGATGGAAAAACAGAAAACAAAGAAACAACAAACTAACAAATGGCAAGGTCTAGGACAGAATCCTAGCACCACACACGCACTCGAAATGGGGGGGTTTTGTTGTTGAAATGATAACAAGGAAGTGAAATGAAGTTGCTGGAAAGTAAACAATGGCAGCAATGAATAAGTTGTGAAACAATGATTGAGAAGTGTTAGAGCCTTGGAATCCACCTCTAGTCTTCCTATCCAAGTTATGAATGCATAGAAATTGACTCAAGCTTCATTAACAATTGATTATCGCATACAAGCCTATGGTATCTAGGTGCAGGATGCATGATTCTCCTAAGGCATGTAATTGTGCATGGTATCTTCACAACACGTGATCTCTAATATGCAACCTAAGCATGGTATCTACTTAGAATAAAGCATATAAGAGTCATTAAGTTCCTTGAGAATATGATAATCACACAAGTCCTAGAACATGGTATCTGTCCTAGTCAACCTATGGTTATTAACCCCTTGAATGATTCTTAGGCCATTCATGTGTTGCTTGTGAAAGGAGAGTAGAATTGGTGAATCTAAACCCCTTCCCAACCTGTGCTAGATGCATAAAATCCTAGTTAGCTACTCCAAGAAAACATACATCAAGCACATAATAAACTGGAGGTTAACAACTTGATAATGAAAGCAAGGAAATCAATTAACTAAGAAATCATCCATAACATTGAATATTCATGACTAGGGCTTCATCCTAAGCCCTAACTAAATAGATTAGTTAAACATAATTATGAATACAGAAAATAAGAAATACATAGATAAAGTAAAGAGAATAGAAGAACTAGCTGGTGGCAGCAAGGTAGTTTCCAGGACAGCTCCCAGCTCTCCCTCCTTTGCAGCTAGCTCTCTTCTCTCTTTGTGGTGAATCTGAATGTGTGTATGGGAGTAATGGATGAAGTGAATGTGTATGTTTCTGAATGTCTTGAATGTGGAATGGAAGTGGTATTTATAGGGAGAGGGGAGTGATAATTCTGAATTCAATATGGCTAATGCATACAACACTTGTATTTAGATAATCAGAATTGGTTGCTGCACTTCACCAATAAATCCCACCAGCAGCCCTAGCTCATCATCATGTCAGCATGACCAAGCTTCCATCCAGAAACCAATAGCTCATGCCTAGCTCACCATGACCAAGCATCCATCAGCTCATCCTCATGTCAGCATGATGTGTATTTCCATGGGCTCACGAATTGGGTTTTGCCGAATCAAATGATGACTTTAAGATGTCCATTTTGAAGTTCAGAATGTCATTGATCTAACCACACAAGTATTGGCCCAATCCAAGCTTGGATGAAGAAGATAAGTCCGAAATGAACTTCTAACTCAGGCTCCAGTTTTTGCACATTTTTGCACCATTTTGCTTCAAATGCCTCAAGTGTATTCCTCTCATGCCAATCAGCCCTTAATATGCATGGATTGTATCAAATGTGATCTCTTGCTCCCATAACCTACAGAACACACAAACATAGATAAGTGACTCGAAATAAAGAGAAACTAAACAAAATTACTAAGCAATGAAGGCATGCAAATGTGTGAAATTATGAACTTATCATGTCTCATTCAAAATAATGAAAGTAATCACCCAATAATCTCAATCAATAACAAGAACCCAAAAAAAAAAAACCAAAACCAATATTAGAACTCACCACAGTGAAGATCAAAGATGAAGGTATCGTGGCTTTGTAGTGGAAGTCGACGACGGAGGTGGAGAGTCACCATTGTGGCTTCATTATGGAGGCCGACGACGGAGGTGGCGAGTCATGCCTTGGCTAGGGTTCGGTTCCAAATTTGGGGTTCAATCTTGAGGTTCAAATTAGCTCCTAGTTTGAAGATATAACTAAGAGGAGATTGAGTTTAGCGAGATTCTATGGTGGAGGTGGATTCCTGTGAGGTTTGGCAGAAGGAAGAAGAGGAAGAGGAAGAGACTAGATAGAAGAGGAAGAAGAAGAGCAATGACAAAGAAGAAGAAAAAAAATTAAGTGAAGGATGGGCAATAAGCTGTCAATAGGAAGTTTTTATAGGGGGTATTTATGATTATATTTCAAAATGAAGAGTTTTTATAAGGGGTTTTTATAGCAGCCAATTTCCTTAAAATTTTAAGAGATGGGTGGTATTTTCAGAAAAAATTATAAAATGAGTGGCATTTTGAGCTATTTCCAAAAAAAATTAGTAAAACCAAACTAGACCAGTTAAATAGTACCAATTCTGATTTCAGTTTGAGATGATTACTAGACCGAACCGAACTGTTCCCAACCCTACTTTTTAGCTAGAAACGTGAGAACCTATTCCTTCACCCCCTACTTCACGAGTTTCTCTTTCCAGAAAATTTTGTCTCTTCTTCCTCCTTTAACTTCTTTCTACCATAACTTTCATTCTACAACTCCAATTCTTGCGCCTTTTTCGCCATTAGGATCGTAGGAACGAGCTCTACAAGAAAGGTAAACCATTCTTGGATTTGGTTAAGTTTCGAAATTCTCCTCTTTTTGAGTTAGTGACTGATTAGGCTTTATGACATGTTTACTAATCAGGAATTGGAATTCTCATCCGGAATTGAATTCCGCCTATGGAGAATTCCTGCGTTTACTTCACATCAAGGAATTGAAAAGTAAGCGAGGCCCACACAAAATTAGGAATTGAATTCCTGATTTTGGAGGAATTCAATTCCAGAATTGGAGGTGGTATTCTAATTCCTGGAGAATTCACCCATTAGGAATTCATCTTTTTTACCCATTATATCCTCACACAATTTTCAAAATTCCAAATATGCCATCTACTTTAACCAAAAAATGTGAACATTTTAGTAATTAGTACTACTCCTACCCCAATTCCATATGATTTAGTAAACAACTTCAATAGGAATTCGGAATCTAACTCCCCTCAATCCATATGGTTTAGTAAACAACTTCATTAGGAATCCGGAATCTAATTCTCCTCAATCCAACTCCTCCTCAATTCAATTCATCCTCAATTCAATTCCCCCTAATTCAATTCCGGATTAGTAAACACGCCATTAATATCTTGTTTCCAAGCGTGGTTTGGGAGAATGGTGGTCGCTAGGCAGCTCATTGAAGGTTGAGGATTACTTTGGAGCTGTTAAGGTAAGATTTGTTTACCACACTTGCTGCAGGAATTCTAAAGTACATTGATTTAAGTGAGATTGTATAAGTGATTTTAGATGTTATTTGATGACATGCAAGTACACCAGGTGAAGAATCTACCTTGGGCTGAACCTACAGAGAACTCAGAGTAATTTTTGGGTTGAAGTGGAAGTTGGGTAAGTTTCTACTTTCAAGTTTGTTGTGGCCTTGGTAGTTGGGTGTGTTGGATAATTCTGAGTTTGATGAGGATAATTGTCATTTTTAATCTTGAATTTGGGACTGTTCTGGTGTTTAAAGCTACTTAGAACTGAATGTCAAAGAATGAGATGGATGTTGATGAAATCTGCATTTATGCAGAAATCTGAGTATGTGTTCTGTTCTGGACAGAATGACCTAGTTCGCACTTATGTTTTAAACTGGGTTTTTTATGTGTGAAAAATAGACATTTCGATGAGTATTTCAAAACTGATTTTATTCAAATTGGAGTTAAATTGGATTTTTGGCAAATTTTCAAAGTTGGCATTATTCTGCAGAAAACAGAAAACTCTGCAGCCAAGTCTGTTTTGGATTTAGTCTTTGACTGGCTTCCTTAACTCGGAATTCGATGAACTTTTGATATGTTGAAGTTTTATATGTCTACGTGTGATGTGGAAATGTTCACACCATTTTGAATCAAAATGGATTTTTAATGATTTTCCAAAGGCAAAGCGTTGCTGCCTAAATTGTTTAACAAAACTGAAGTTTCTGTTTTTAATGGAAATCTTTGATTTCTTTTATAAGTCCAGAGCAGAATCACATGATCAGAGGCTTTCCTAAGAGATAGAATTTTCCTAAGAAATGGATATATTGGTTTAACAAACCCAAGAAGTGGAAGTGGGCTGTAAATCAAAGTGTTAATGTGAGTTGGGGTTTGATGTTGATCCTTGTTGTTTATAGGAATTTCTGACTCTCTTGGAGCTCTACTGTGACGTTTGGTCTTCACGCCTTGGTTAGAGGTTTTCCTGTGTATATGTATGTGAATATTGACGCGTGAGAACTCTGCATCGTGTTTGGTTGCTAGTATGCATGTTAGGGAAATGGATTTGATTATTTACAGCATGCCCTTCTTGTGATACAATTTATACTTAATTTGTGACCTGAGAGTGAAAGGAGCCGTGTGACTACCTTGGGGTTTCGATCCCCTAAACCTCCGGAAGGGCTTGTACGGATGAACTTGTACTGATGTAAAAGGTATGAGTTTATGTAAAAAGGACACTCTTGCTAACCCTTAGTGTTGTGTTGAGTTCTTAATCAGGTATGGGTAGTTGGTCTGTTGGAACCGGTCACGGAATTTGTGGTTATTGAGGCCTCGTATTCTGTCATGAAAGCTAATTTGACTCAGCCAATTGTTATTGTTGTGCATGCTTTCCTCTTATAGTGTTAACTATATTTAAGGGTTAACTGGTGATTTGCCCCTTGAAATTAAAATAAAATAGTAAAATTTCACTTTCAATTGTGTGATTTAGTTCATTGCAATACATGTAATTGCAATAGAGGGTGCTATATGATGAACCCTCTATTGAATTGCAATAGGCTAATCATGAGATCCACATGCCAATAAATTGAAGCTATTGAACTGTACCATGTAAGTAAAATTGTAGTTTAATTTAATAGATGCCAAAATAGTTCAATTTATTGAATATAGATCATCGACGAATACACTATATAGTCAAGAAGATACTCAAAAAAAACTCAAACTAAGTTTTGTTTTTGAAAGAAGTAAAAGTTTCAATCAAGATCCGTGACGGATCTGAAAACTATATAAATCAAAGTTATTAATTATGAAGTTTATATCAACAGGAAAATGATTAACTATATAAATACTGTTGTGAATTAATACTAACTCACTTCCCCTTAGGACCTTGTTGTTGATGAACTTTGTGACAAACTATGAGTCTTACACACACACAGAAATTTAACCAAAATAGAAATGACACAAGTGTTTATAGAGGTTCAGCAAATTGCCTACTTCCTCTTTGGTGATCTCCTTGAGAACTTTCACTAATGAAGATAGGTTACAACTTTGGTTTACAAAGAAGGAAACCCCCTTAGAACACTACCCTCACAATCTGTTTCTCTCTCACCCTTGCTCAACACCTTGACACACTTAGAGAACTCTCTTGCTCTCTCCTTGGTATTTTCTGAACTTACAAGTTTCAGCTTCTTTTCAACTCTCTCTACTTTGCACCAACTTATGCACTTAACAACTTAACTTTCTCTTGCTTCCTCTTCCCTCTTATATAAGCCTTTGGACTCCAAGATAAGGTATCATTAAGTTCTGCACGTTCATGCTTTTAGATATCCAACTTTAGACACCTGTTATGGCAGCTCACAAAGCAAGTGATCAATGGTTGCTAGCTGCCATCAATCTCTTGAACCAAGAGAGAAATCACTCATTGAAGCAAGTTATCAATTTGCCAAAGAGTTCTTCCCAGCTTTCCACCTGCTTGCCACCTCTTATTATCTCAGAAGTGATCAAAAATATCCTTGCAAGTCGATAGGAAGTGGTAGCACACCAAGGAAGACTTGAAAACGCGTAGGAATTTGAAACAGCATCGTCTGGGCGACCGGTCGCTCGGTACTGGCGACCGGTCGCTTTCCACAGATTCGATTTTAGCTTCAGACTTCGACTGGGCCACCGGTCGCTCATAACTTGCGACCGGTCGCTTTGGCATAGAGTCGAAAACCAATTCAGACTTTGCAATCTGCCGAAACCGACCGGTCGCACATAACCTGCGACCGATCGCTGGTCTGATCTTTTGTATCTTTTTAATTGAGCCATTTTTCTCAACAAATACAAGTATTATCAGTAGAATGTCGTTCTTGACGAAAGAATCTTCGACCATATCACTCAGAATAAGTTATGATGCATTGACATATGGCCTATGAAGTATTATGAGAAGTTATGATGCGATTGTGGCTGCCATCCCTTTTCTTTTCTTTTCCTGCAAAAAGGAGTTTAATACCCAAAAGAATCATTACATGTTCCCTCTACTATTAGCTCAACCAGATGAACTGTACAAGTGGGTTCCTTACCCTTCACTTCAACACGTTGTAGGTACCATCGCATTACAAAGAAACTGCTTCAGCTGACTAGTCTATAACTAAATACCATAGAGATAGAGTCGTCACACCAGGTTTTAAAAAAAACAAAAACAAAAAAAAACATACCACTTTGTAGTTTCCCTTGCACTGAAAAATCATCATTTCAAAGAAAGCGCGTGGTGACTAAAAAGATGTGACCGTTTGACCACTTTGTGGTTGCACTTGCACCGAAAGTTCTTCATACAATGAAATGAAACATGGTTACTAAAATATTCTTAAAATCATTTGAGCAAAAGTGAAAAAAAACAAAAGAAAAACTTTCGGTGTTTGTTTTTTCAATTTCTCCATAAGCTTTGTCTAAGAAAAGAAAGCGGTTTTAAGATAACGAGTCCAGTGAAAAAAAGTCTTGACTTATAGACAAGAGGTCTCTAATTCGAATCCATAAAATTCGTTTCAGTAATCTTTCAATTTTTTAATTTCAGAACATAAAAAACAAAATCTTTGGATAGAAAGACAATCATTTCAAAGAAAGCGAGTCAGTGAAAGAAGAAATATCACGTTTTACCACTTTTGTAGCTGCCAATGAAAAGGTAAAGGTAGTGCCCCTCACCTTCAGTAAGTTGCAACTACATATGCTTCAGTAATTAAAGACCGCGTCAGTAAGAAAACTCAGCGTTTGACGACTTGAAGTTGAAACGAAATCTCCTCCACATGGAAGGTGGTAGGAAACTGCTTCGTCAAGCCCGCGTAAATCTAACCAGAGCGCCACTGCCATACCCAATTCTTTGAGCTTCTCCATACTTGTAATTATCTGCCTCCTATCTATGACCACTCAACCAGTCTCTTCTTCTCCTTCTTCTTCTTCTTCTCCATATGATGTCTTTCTGAGTTTCAGAGGTGAGGATACACGCACCAATTTTACAGATCATTTGCACGAGGCTTTAGTCCGTAAGGGAATCCGGACCTTCATTGATCGAGAGCTTGTAAGAGGAGAAGAAATATCGCCTGCCCTTGTCAAAGCAATTGAAGAATCAAGAATTTCTCTCATTGTATTCTCTGAAAACTATGCATCTTCGAGGTGGTGCTTGGATGAACTTGTCAAGATCCTTCAATGTAAACAATCAAACCAACAAGTAGTTTTGCCCATTTTTTACAAGCTGGATCCGTCGGATGTGCGAAAACAAACAAGTAAATTTGGTGACGCATTTGAAGGCCTTATTGAAAGCAAATTCAAAGATAACGAGGAGAAGGTGCTCATATGGAGGGAAGCTCTTACAAAAACAGCAAATTTGTCCGGACATACTTTCAAGGATGGAGAGTATGTATATTTCTATCTTTATCATTTTCATGTTTAATTTTTTCTCTCTTCTTTCTCATTACTATTTGTTACACATTTAGGTAAATTCGGACTTATCAACCGCACCTGCTCCCTTTTCTCCTTGTTGACAACCAACTGCAAGGAAGCTAAGGGGGGGAGGTGGCCACTGCCCCTCCTCCCCTCCGCCAATCTCCTCTTCTCCTTCCCTTCTCCTCCCCAGATAGTCTAGATCTATTTTGGATCTAGGTGTGTTTGTCTGTTTGTTTTGTTTGGTTGTTTACGCAATGTTCAAGGTGATTGGTGTTGTCTTTTTCTTGGCAGCGGCGACAGTAGTGATGCTAGATTGTGTCTCTCATTAGGAGAGTTGTGATACCTGGTGGCTAATGTTTTGTCTCTGTTTTAACAGCGGCAGCAGCAGTGACGCTAGTGGTAGTTGTTGGGATGTGGTGCTCTTCTCTACTCTACGCCGACCGAAGAACTATGCTTGTGTAAGACAATAACTTGTCTTACGTAAATGTGGTCTTCTAATCCTATAAGGATTTGGCAATTCACATGATCTAGGAGTGCAAACTTAAACATTATCTGCGGTTCTTTTTCTAGAGAGTGTTTTAATAAGAAAAGAACTTAGAGAATTCCTAATTCTATATGGATTGAAACACACTATCCTAATGCAATCTGGATTGCTTAAGTATTTCTTAATGGGCAGGAAACTTAAGTAAATGCATATAAATAGAGGTCCCTTCTCTATCAGTCGAAATACATACTCATACAGAAATCTCACCCCATAAGAGAAAGAGCTTAAGGACTGCATAGAAGAAGAAGATCTCTATCCTACCTACTGAAGCCGTGTCTGATCAAGGTTAGTATTATTGAATAAAGACTTGAAATAACTTACAAACCGAGCTCTTGAGCTTTTTAGTTTCAGTGCCTTCGGAACCAACAAACCTCCAAAGGATTATTTGGAACTCGCACAACGTGCACTAGCGTATGCTCAAGGCATTCCACTAGCTCTAACACTTTTAGGTTCTCATCTTCGTAATAAAGACAAAGATCGTTGGCAAAATATATTAGATAGTTATGAAGGAGAACCATACACAGGTATTCAAGAAACACTTCGAAAAAGTTATGATGCCTTGGAAAAATCTGTGCAACAAGTTTTTCTAGACATCGCATGTTTCTTCAAGGGTGAAGATAAGGACTATGTTCTAAAAATAGTAAGCAATTCTAAGAACAAGGTCTCCCGAGATTGTATTGAAGTACTCATTGAGAAGGCAATGATAACTATTGACTATGGTGGGATTCAGATGCATGACTTACTAGAAAAACTGGGCAAGGATATAGTTCATGAAGAATCCCCCAATGATCCCGGCAAGCGTAGTAGATTGTGGTTTTACGAGGATGTTGAACAAGTTCTAACGGAAAGTACAGTAAGTATCACATATGTTATTATATTCAATTTGACAAGAAAGAATACCTTATGTAACCTATATAATTTTCTTAACAAAATGTGCTTGCATTTTGGTTTGTAAAATGACTTCGTTTTTTAATGTTAATGCTTTCTATCTTAGGGAACAAAAAAAATTATAGGCATCAAGGTGAATCTTCCAGAACCAGCGGAGATAACCTTGAATCCAGAATGCTTCCGTAAAATGGTAAATCTTGAAATTTTCATAAACCGTAATGCATCTCTATGGGGGCACATTAGCTATCTGCCCAACACGCTAAGATTGATTAAGTGGGATAGATGTCAGTTACAATCTTTGCCATCCAATTTTCAAGGAAATCATCTTGTTGAGTTCAATATGCCTCGTAGTCATATTAGACAATTAGAGGGATTTAAGGTATGTACATATGAAATTATTTTCATCTATTAAATATAATTTCAAATTTCAGAAGGAAAAGAACGAAAATTGTTTTCTAAGTTTTTGTCTTTTTAAGGGTGTGATTTGATAATTTCCTATTTTATGTTTTTGTGTCACAGAATATGCCAATGCTGACATCTATGAATTTAAGTGGTTGTCAATTCTTAGAAAAAATTCCTGACTTATCCAGAATCCCAAACATAAAGGACTTGAATCTAAGTTGGTGTACAAGTTTGGTTGAGGTTGATGATTCTGTTGGACGCCTTGATAAACTTGTTCAATTGAATCTTAGAGGATGTGTTAGGCTTACGAGGTTTGCAACAAGACTTAGATTGAAATCCTTAGAAACACTTTATCTAAGTGATTGCGAAAGGCTTGAGAGTTTCCCTGAAATAGAGGTGGAGATGGAATCACTATGGATTTTGCACATAAGAAGAAGTGGCATAAGAGAATTGCCTTCATCTATTGCATATCTTACTGGGCTTGACACATTGGAAGCTTGGGATTCCAAATTACAGCTGTGTCCCAACCTATCTAAATTTTGTCTCAAAGGATGCAGTCAAATCAGAAAATTGGAGAGATTTAAGGTATGTATTTGAAATTATTTTCATCTTTTATTATTTCATATTTGAGTTCATAATTCAGAAGGAAAAAAGAAACAAAAATCTTTTGAAAACCAGTGATTGATCATTTCCTAATTTGTTTTTTGACTCACAGCATTTGCCAAAGCTGACATCTATGAATTTAAGTGGTTGTCAATTCTTAGAAAAAATTCCTGACTTATCCAGAATCCCAAACATAAAGGACTTGAATCTAAGTTGGTGTACAAGTTTGGTTGAGGTTGATGATTCTGTTGGACGCCTTGATAAACTTGTTCAATTGAATCTTAGAGGATGTGTTAGGCTTACGAGGTTTGCAACAAGACTTAGATTGAAATCCTTAGAAACACTTTATCTAAGTGATTGC